ATTTGGAAAGCCCATCACAGACTTGAGAAGATTCAGCTACTCATCAAGCAAGATACCCTCAAAGTATCATGGAAAAGATCAGAATATAAAACATTTTAGTTCAAAAGAATGGAAACAAATAAACAGAGGACCCTATTACAAAAAGGCCAATCCTTGCAATAAATGCAGCAGAGTAAGCTCAAACGAGACTGTAAAAGAGCTGCAGTTGTTGGATCTGAATCAGCTTGCTAGGTCCACCAGTGGATGATGTTGGAGCTCTAAAAAGCACCTAGCTAAGGAAAGTCTATTTTTCAATAATAATTCCTAAGAGAAGAAGAAGAAACAAAGTTGACAAATATGTCACATGGGAAAAAACTATCTATTCAGGAAATGAAAAGAGAGAAAAACATTTAACAGAACCACTTCTCCTCCGTCTTTTCATATCTACTTTGCAGAGAAACTTTTTTTTTTTTTCCATACAGTGAAATGTTCTGGATGTTTAGTCTGTGGCTGCGGACATTTTACATCTCAAGGACAGTAAGCAAAGGCTAACAATAAGAACAAACCCAGTATCTTAATTATTTTGTTGTCTTGGATTTATACATAACCCACCTTTCTGACCACAGTACTCTACAGTGGCACAGGAGACAGCCAGATAGGATAGCTAAGCAGACCAAATGTATCTTTGCTACTGGAAAAGAGAGTATTCTCTTCTTCCAGGCTTGACACTGTTGTCCCCACCCCATTCTGTGTGCTTACTCTGGCACTCATCTGACCACACAATAAGATAATTCAATTTGCTAATCAAGCAAAACAAAAACAAAAGAAAAGAAATAGTTTTCTGCTGGGTTAGTTGAGTGAATCAACTTTTCACACTTAGTATCAGAGCCACTGCCACAGAGCAGTACAGACATGCTGTACCAAAACCAGAAGAGAGTGGGCAACTAGGACCACTCCATGCAGAAGCACTAAGATAGCAGAACTGCTGATCAGTCTCTTTAACATTCACCTACTCCAAGACTTTTTATCCACCCTCTAAAAGCCTGCATGATACAACTCAGTGATGTGGCACTGAGTACTTTCCCAAACACAGGTCTCCTCTGAAATTGAAATCTAATTATGTCAGCAATCTACTAAAACATCTTTGCAGGATTTGTCTAGGATAGGTTGCGTTTGACATAATACATAAGAAATACATATATTAATTTAAAATATATTGGTTTTTTTGAAAGTCAAAGAAAATTGTAATTAAAAAGGTCATTGTAACTACAAATGCACCTGTAAAATAAAGTCTGCCAGGTTTCGGGGGGTAAAGCGGGAAAAACTAAACTAAAAGAATTTGCAATTTATTTTAATATTTTTATGCATGTATAACTGTACAACAGACAGATACACAAAGTTCTTTAAACAAGTCGTTTGTACTCTCTTCCCAGCCTAATTTGCACATGTTACGTTACCATTTAAGTCACATGAGCACATACTATTTTTCCCCAGGACATATGCCTCATTCAGTGCACTAGATGGACTCTGATCCAGGAAAGCATTAACACTGTGCACTGAAGGAAGCTGCTCCCTGTAGACCAGTCCATTGAGAGTGCCTAGATACACAATGATCAATACTAGAACAGGAAGAAATGCAGGCATTCAGTAAGAGCATTATAAACCTAACAGACAATGAACGACCCCCACAGCCCCACTTAGCACCGCACAGATGTGTATCTAAGAAGAGATACACTTACCTAATGCTAGCTCCCGGCTAGCAAGTTTGAAGCTCCATCCCCCAATAACAAAGAACGTTCTTTTATCAAATTTGAAAGAGCCTCTTGGTCAGAACCATATCAATTTTTACTACATGTGTGGCATGTTCTTCAAAGAGGGGGAAGTGCCATTGTGTCCTTTTACAGTCTGACAAGTGCTAGAAGCAGATATGACAATTTCTGCAAGTAAATTCTGCTATCTGCATGGATTCAATGCCTGACACCCCTGTTCAAACTTTTCTAAAGGAAAAAAAGATTTTCACAGATTTTCTTGGCTTTCTAGCTAAAGAAAAAATGATCTGTTTAATCTCAGTTCCATTCTGCTTGCAAAGCCAAGAAATGCAGTGCTGACACGGAAATTGTCTTTTTAGGAGATTCAAGGAGATACTATGGTATTAATATACATTAAATACCTTTTTCCTGCATTTGCCAGAAATGGAAACGGTCTTTCAAAATTAATTTCTGCAGCTATCTATGCCTTCTACTTCCTTAAGGAAGCTTCCTAGCTCCCACCTACATGTGAACATAGACTTTTCCAGTTCACTTTCATAACCCAATTCTTTTCTGGCTTGTACGTTATCAACAGAATTGTTAAAAAAAATTCTGCCTGCCAAATCCATTACAGCTGATGAAGCACGATTTGGCAAGAACCCATTCTTCTTTGCAAAAGTCAGTTAGCACAGATATGGGAAGCAGTCACCTGTCAAACAAAATTGCAATACCATGATAAAGTTAAGTTTGGTAACAACTTTTATGTCAGAATGTTTCTCTTTAAAAGAATTAACAAAAAAATTTTTATCTGATCCACTAAAAATAACTTTTAGACTCCTGAGATTTTGATAACATTCTGCTCAGTTACACTGTTCTTGCTATTCAGTCAGCCTGCCTGACTTTCTTTCAGACAAACCCCTCCCAAATCAGCAAACAACAACAACAACAAACCATTTACATGAAAGTGACAAAGTGTTTAAATGGAGAGTCTTCGCAGTGTTTATGTTTAACTTTTTTCCCCGTTAAATAATAAATTTGAGGAGCTTCCACACTAACAGTTCAGTTCCAGTGAGACGGACTTCTCAGCATCTGGACGTAAACTAATTCCCAGAGGAAATTAATCACAGGAAATCACAGCATATTTAAATCATGTCTTAAGTTCAGTTTACAAAAACTCTCCCATCCCACATATAATTTTACACAGGCAAACCCAGGGCCAAGAACACTGTCACAAATGTCTTGAATGGCATTCCAGAGGAGAAAGGACGATCATCACAGTGCTACAACAGGCTTTTTTCTTTCAAAGTAGCTAAATATTTTATGAGTACCTTTGCTTTCACTGGGAAGAAAATAATGTCTTCTAAGCGCAGCTCAGCGGATGCTAATAAGGGGATTTTTATGTATCTTCAGCTGGTACACCCACACCTACTACGCCCCAGCGGCCAAGGGCGCGCGCGCGCCGCCCAACCGCCGCCGCGCGAGCCCCCCTGCCTCCCAACCGCCGCCGCGCGAGCCCCCCTGCCTCCCAACCGCCGCCGCGCGAGCGCCCGTGAGGCGCGCGCAGGGGCGGGGGAGCTGGATGCGCTTCGCCGCCCGCCCCGCCACTCCGCTTCCTCTGCTGCAACAAGGCGCTTTCTGCTCGAAAATCGCCATCGGGTTTTTGTTAGCGCAGAGTAACCCCTTCGTTCCCGCGCCGGAAAAACAAAGTGGGCCCGGCGCTGCTTCTCGCCACCGGGAACAAAACAAAACAAAAGGTTATTTTATGGTTTTGTGTTATTGTTTTGTTTTGGGTGGTTTTCCCCTGGGAAGAGCCTCAAGAAAGAAAAGATCGCGCCTTCGGGGGAGTATTTGTGATGGCGAAAGACCCGCATATTCGTCGGGTGGAAATGCGCAGTAAGGGAAAAGGCGAAGCCAACTGATTCTCCCCGTCATCCTTCTCCGGGGACATTGTTCTACGGGGACGGGGGTAACGCCGCATCTCAAAATGAACAGCACCCGTGATTTTCACACCCGGAGAAACGCGCCACCTCCAGCCCCGGGGCAGTTGGTGAAATAAGGGCAACCGAAAATAAAAATAAAATTAAATTAAAATGAAATTAAACCTCTGGAAGCATCCGCTCGAATCGCGGAAATCGGTCGTCGGGAGGGGACGGCAGGCTGCGCAGCCCCGCCGCGGGCGGGCGGG